ATCATCAACCATCCTAAATTGTGTAGTTGAGAGAAACATATTCTCATAAAAATAATCGTCACTTTTAGGCGACACAGGAAAAACTATCCAAGGAAATGTGAAGGAACCACACGGTGAGCAGAATCATACCCTTAAACAGAATACACTTTTCGGGATGGAAAATTCAAAATGGCCACCTTAACATTTACCCAGACTGCCTAAAAACTAATCAGATCTTAACTTTCCATAGAAACATCTCTAAAATTTTAGGATGAATCCATGAAACCTGTAAACAACCCTCAAGAGACACGTTTTAAGGTATTACTTCACAGTGTATCAGCTTTTTTCTACAATTCAGATTTTCCTGAAGTAAATCCTGGTAAAAGATATACTGATGTTGTATTACAAAATATGTGAAAATTGGAAAGATCGACCGTTTAGTTATTTCTAAAAAAAATGTTTTAATTTAACATTGCTCTCAATGGGAAATTCTTTTTTATTTTTTAAACAAGCCTTCACAGACACGTATTTAGGACGAAAAATCCAAAATGGCCGCCTTAACATTTATCCAGAATGCCGAAAAACTAATCAGTTCTAAACTTTCATAAGTAGAAACGTCCCTGAGAAATTCAAATGAATCCCTCAAACGATTTGGCTGGAAACCTGTAGACAAGCCTTGACAGACAAGATTTTAGGACGGAAAATCCAAAATGGCTGCCTTAACATTTCAAATGAATCCCTCAAGCTGGAAACCTGTAGACAAGATTATTCGGGACGCCCGCCCGCCCGCCTGGCAAACTGATTACAATATAGCACCTTAGGGTGCAATAAAAACAAACACTTCTAACCGATAAATTTTGTGGGTAGATTTACTACGAAAAAAATCAAGCACAGCTCGAAAATCTTTCAAGGTAATCAGAAAGCTAAGTCTTTGAATCGAATACGCACGAAATTAAAAATGAAATATTTTTGTTTTCCTCGAATTAATTTTTTTAAAACGTACATCAAACCTACATCATAGATTTTGCTTCAAATCAGTTAATAGTTACACCGTACATCTCAAGTGCACGACGGTATATTTTGTCATTGTACGTTGTCAATGTTGCTGCGTGAATGTCAAAGCTTAAAAGAAGTCCGACCTTCCCAAAATAAAATAAAATGAAAAAAATAAATAGGGAGCCAACGAATGTCGAACAGGGTTCTACTTCTAACTAAATTATAAGTACCTGTAACTACCAAACGCTCTACTTACTGAGCTATCATGGATGGCTGGTCAATTACGTTTTTCTTGGTATATTTATTTACAGACTATTGATTAATATAGAGTTTCATGGACCTAAATTCCTGTCACAGGAATCCAAGTCCGTCAGCTAGCAGGAAAATACGTCCGTAGTAATTTTTCATATATATTATAGCTTGGAATATATGTCCGACTAGTTGACCAGTACCTCACACGACATTTTGCCCCAAACCTTAACGTGAAGTACTTGTTGACGTATATGTGTCACTGTGGGTAGCGCACCAACCTTGACGTGCGTACAATTTTACATAATTTTACATCTACAAGGGTGTGTAATGCAAAATACAGATAACACTGTCGATTCCCTGACACCAAAGGGAAACAACTAAAATGATAATTATCTGTGTATTACCCTTAGACGCAGGGGCATGACCAGAAGTGTTGACAAAACCTAAAAGAGGAAGGTAAAAATAAGGGTAGACGACAGTTTCTCGAGAAAGACGAGAACATATTGTGCATGGTACAGAAAGCCAGTTGTCAATTTTATTAGGAATTCATACACGTACGTTTAAATTTATAGGGAGTTTAAGCTTGCACATGAAATCGAAACGCCAACCTATACATATGACCGATCGCCCATACAAATGCATCGCTTAAATATTTTCCGTTCACGTTAAGGTTGTGAAAAACATTGCATGCTTAAACTCCTTTTATTCATATTCACTTACTTCGGGTTTGCTTAGTTGGCCTTTCGCCTGTTACTCCTGATTTGGATTTCGCCTAAAATTAAAAAGCAGAATAAATGCTCAATTTACAACTGTTAACTCTTCTGCAACAACTATTGTATCATTCATTGAATTCAATAATATTTTCACATGGGATGTAGCAACTAATTATTCCACTGTCGCTATTCGAAATATGTGGATGCGGTCATGTACATGTAATGTATCGTAGGTGCTCGCGTGCATTATAGGGAATGGTGTCATTGCAAAAATATAACAGCAAAATGAGCTTAGTGAGTTCAGAGTTCCTACTTAACATTGAGTCTTGATATATTGTATACATATCCAATATGTATAGTATGACGTACAATATAGGTACAATATAGTTTCAGCTATTTACATTCCTGTAATAGAGAAGATATTTGAACAACATTTCGTAAACGTAAACATATATGTATAAAACAGATGCAAATATGTATCATTTGGATTCAGAACGGTAACAAATGGATGCTATCATAAATTGTACTTTTATCATGATGATTTTTTTACAGAATAACAACTGGCCAGATTCCCTGCCTATCCGTTGCTTGGATAAACATTCCTCATTCAGTGAAGCAAATGACCACACCATTCCAAGACACCCTTATGAAAAAATGAGAATTGATAGACTAGACATAAATCCATCAACCGGAAAATGCGATTACAGAAGAGAAAAACTATGGTTTTATCCCTTATACTGTGACCTTGAAAAATGGGTCCATATCATGTAATGACGACGATGAAAACATTGAAATCAGGTACAACAATCAAGTGAATTCAGACCCAAAGACTCATCAACCAAATGTTTTACCCAAAGATCAAGTTCAAGAGTCATTAACATCCATTGACAGTGACGATGAGCAATCGACAGATGGACCATCCATAAATCTCGATGATTTTGTGAGCTCAGTTGAACGAGCCTACAGATTCCTTAAAACAAATAATTCAAATTCAAGAATACTTATATCGATTTACTATTTTGAAATAGTGATAAGTGGAATCTTTCTTTAGAAATATATGTAAAATACTAAAAAATACATAAATTCAAAATAATTAAATTATAACCGAGTTAGTCTGATAATTGAATCCAATAATAACGTCCACTGATCCACACGATACATAATAATAAAATTGCTTTTTTAAAACGAATAGTTCATACCATAACCTCCAAAATATTATAAAACGTGTTGGATATGTATTTTACTTAACACAGACATATTTGGATATACGTGAAATAATTATATCACTTGATTTTTTTATTCTCCGTTATAGAGTAAGCCTATGGCAAATTATACATTCCTTCTCACAGCTGAGAGCGAGATGATAAAACAGGTAAAGTGAACTCGTTTGAGTTATCTATTCACAGTTAAAAATCACAGAACATGTGTTTATAGGATAGCTCAGGTTTATTAAATCAATGAAGTATGATATCCACGGATGAGTAAATAGAGATCATTTAAACAAAAGTGCAAAATTCTTCCATTGAAAAGTACAGAGCCGGGTACTTACGATACATTACATGTATATGACTGCATCCACATATTTCGACTAGCCACAGTGTATTCAGTCAATAAAGATGCCATAATTATATGTTTCAATTCATTCTTCCCCAACTGTAATTCATTACATTTTAATGATAGTGCAGAAGCTCCAAGATACACCTGCTCATAGTATTAAATCATGTTTTACATCGCATTCCATGCACATAATTGTCTCCAATTTCGAACAGTCGTGTTCGCAGCACGATTTACCGATTGTTTGAAAGTGAAAATCAATGTCCAACGGGCCACAGTTCCACAGTCCTGGCTGGAGGACCCCGTGCATGGTCCCAACTCTAGCACCGATTGCCAAACTCCTTAGTAAATTCTACTTAATGACTTATGCATATGCACAATTGACTATCACATTAGTGAGTGACTTCGCTATTATCTTTCAATGATCATTCTTTGAGGCATAGGGGAATAAATTAAAGCCAATTAATAGTTGATTGTTTATATTTGTATTTTGAAGTGAATATATTCATATATTTTATTATTTCTATTTGATTGTTTTGTTGTTAGACATGATATTTAGCTTTTTAAATGAGTAATGCTGACAGTCAATAAAGGTGCGAATCCAAATACCTAATTTCAAGGTAAAATACGTAAGATACAATTTTAGTTTTGTTCTGTATATTGGAACCATATGGACGTCAATCTATTTAGAACCATACTGATCATCCTTACCAAAAAGATATAAGAATTTTGTTCTTTACAGACAAATTTTCCCTAATCACCAATTTTTTGATTACCGAATTCATTCTTTAGCCTATTTGTCTCATGGTACTTCTTAGATGAATTTCTTTTGTAAGTCGTTTCAATTAGAAACTAGAAATCGGCAACTCCAAGGAGTAGCAAATCCCAACGAATACTATATTCATGAATCTGTATCTGTCACAATATGATATTCACCATCTACTCTACGCTTGGTTAAATCATTGGCTGAATTAAAATACGTACATTAGAGATGTCAGAATTTCCACTGATTTAAGCATTTTGGTGATCAACTAAAGGCAAAAGTCATGAAAACAATACAATATTTGAGATCTGATATGGGGTCGGGCGTCACTAAGAAAGTAAGACACTTTTTGAAAAGGATTTTCTCAGCGATTGATCAACTAAATTCATTAAAAATTTGTACAAAGTAGCCCAAGAGTATTCATAGAAAGTTATAAAAATATAAAAGAAATCAAGTAATTATTATGTGAGAAGTAAGGAATTCAAGCTAGCATGTCAAAAGATCCCATATACCAGAGTGACGCAATGATAACTTCATAGCGTTTGTACTACACGATGGGAAGCAATTCGACAAGTAATTTCTCAGCAATAGAAAAGCCAAATTCTTTAAAAACTTTACTAAAGATATTTTAGGGTATTTCTAAGTAGTGCTCTGAATATGTAAGGGATTGGTTACATATTATGAGAGTATTCTTGAATTAGACAATATGTCAAAATAACCAATATCAATGTAAAAGTCACTTGTTAATCGAATTCCAAGCAAAATATTTTCAGTATTTATTCGAACTATATTACCTCTTATGAATTTTGAGAATGAATGGATTTGGGATATTTGGGAATGAAACAAATTAATTAGACATGGCGCCCAAACAAGCTATTTTGACTGATTGACAAATGCTATCACCTGATAGAAACACTTTGAAGGTCTCATCACAGAGCTCTAGTAAAGGATTCCTTGACATGCTGTTTTAAATTCCTTAAAGTACTTCCATTACACATATATATATATGATCTTTTTTATATTTTTAAAACTTACTGAGTACACATATTCATTGAAATACAATACAATACAATACAATACAATACAATACTTGACATAAGGTGGCTCACTTTTTGGGACAACAAATATTAAGTATCATGTAACCATACTTTGAAGAGATCTCTAAGTAATAGCGCTTTTCTGCTTGAGGCAGCCAGTTTAAATTTTCTGAGACACGAATTAGAACAACAATACCGTAATTGTGATCTACTCTAAAATTACATCAATTTGAGTATAGTATATAATACTTTGAAGAGATCGGAAAATTATTGCGAAATCCCACATTGGGCGACCATTTTGAATTATTGGAGGCCCGGATCAGAAAAACAATCGATTCTAAATTGCTTTTCATTTGAGTTTAATAAAACTATCCTTCAGAAAGCGCAAATTCCTGTTTTCCGACCCCCCAGACATGGTCCCTGTGGGTAAGGCGAAATAGATAGATGTTGTGAATATACTACCAAAATTTCAAATAAAAATATTTATCGTATGATCTGTAAAGTGAAGCCTTCTGATTGGTCAGATCGTGTGCTGTGCCAATCTGTATTGCTACTGATTGTCCACATTGATCATCTCCGTCGCAATACAGAAAATATTGGTACGGAGGGGACATTCTTAACTAGCAATACATAGGATCACATGATAAAAACGTTATTCGGATGATTTTTCGATATTCTGTACTTGCACTCGATTTCGTCTCGTTCCAATGCGCAAATTCCTGTTTTCCCGACCCCCCCCCAGACATGGTCCCTGTTGGTAAGGCGAAATAGATAGATGTTGTGAATATACCACCAAAATTTCAAATAAAAATATTTATCGTATGATCTGTAAAGTGAAGCCTTATGATTGGTCAGATCGTGTGCTGTGCCAATCTGTATTGCTACTGAGATTGTCCACATTGATAATCTCCGTCGCAATACAAAAAATATTGGTACGGAGGGGACATTCTTAGTAGCAATACATAGGATCACATGATAAAAACGTTATTCGGATGATTTTTCGATATTCTGTATTGGCATTCGACTTCGTTTCGTTCCAATACGGAATATCTCGAGCAGATTATATCCTGTATTGCACTTCAAATCATTCAATAACTTATATTATTACTTGGTTTAAAATGAAAAACGTATTGGCACTCGACTTCGTCTCGTTCCAATACAGAATTTTTCGAACGGAATATATCCTGTATTGCACTTTAAATCATTCAATAACTTATAATACCATCACAGAGCTAAAACAATATATTATATAATGCAAAAATATGCCTACCGTGCTTGAAGTGTTGTACCATAGTTTATATTGGTCCAGTTTTATCGAATGGTGGTGAGATATACATAGTTTGTGACCACGATTAAGATCCTTTTCTGAAATAGGCACTAAAGTTCGCTTTTCCTCTTCCACATTCGGACATATGCACCTTACAGATATCTCATGGTCGACATTTGGACAATAGTTCTTTATGGTTGTCCTCAGCATTTCCTCGATGTCCTCACGGATTTTGATGCACATAAGGTTGTCCCCCCGATCCGTTCTTTCTTCCAATGTTTGATAGATTTTCATCTCTAGGTGATTGTCTTCAGCTAAAAGTGTTAATACACAACAGCCATCACCAACTTCAAACCTAGCGTAATCAAAGAACGCATTGCCATATAAAGGCCATATATTTTTCAGGCAGATTTTGGCGACTACCCTGTGAAATAGCCCTCTGGGGAAAAAGGTGAATTTGTAGAAAAGCGTGCCACCAACTTGTTGTTGGTCTTTAATGAAGTCACTGGGCTCTGGTTTGGGAAGTAGACAAGGAACAAAGAACTGTCGTTTCCCCTGAGTAATTTCCTGGTTATTTCCAAATGAACAGATCAAGTCAAAACGTTGCATAAGTTCTATCATTATGTCGCTATGAATCGATATATCAGGGTATAGCTCCTTCCAGACAGTTTGAATAAATTCTTCGTGAAGTACACCGTCTTTATCCAGCCTCTCCCAGACAGTGCTATCACATTTGTTCCGTCCACTCGGGACTCTGTGGAACTCTGGCACTGTTATTATACTCTTAAATACATCGATGAGCCACTGAGGATCAAGAATCACTAGATCACAGAGGTTGTTTTCATTGAAGAAAATCATGTCTCCGACTGAGTGATAGAATTCAAGGCAAGCTGTGACAGATGCCTGGTCCATTCCTTCTCTCAAACCAATCGCTTTGACTTCTTCAAACTTAAGAAAGCACACTGGCTCTCGAACTTTTAATCCACGAAGATTTTTCTCAAGAAGCAACCATTTAATAGGTACCTCCTGCCCCCAGAATCCTTGAGCTTCTGCTAGTTGAACGATTGTCTTCTTTAGTTCGTCCAACTCATGGTCGTCATCGGATTTGTTATCAACTGCAATGTATCGTGTGTGAACATGATGAAAGTATACTTTGCCATGGAGGTAAGTTTCTATCTTGTGAAAATAGTCGTTTATATACTTGTCAGTCTGAAATGAAATTTAAACTACAGATGATAGTGTCGCAATTTTACGGTCATATTGAATTTCACAGCGCGTTGAGTTTCCATTACCCCAAAATATTATCTTCGTTTTGTTCGCACATGGATTTACAACTATAAATGGTTCCTGCAAATTAAATTGAAATACATTTAAATAGTATCTGACACGGCTTTTAAATGTGAGAAACTATACTTTTTTTATGAAAAAGTTGTTATAGTTTGGATTATTGGAATTTTGAACGTTATAACAGCAAAAGATTATGATTGTTCTACACTCAGTATGATATATGGAGTAAATCTTCCAGTATTCAAGAATTTTACTACCAGTTTACATACCTGTCTGGTTTTCTTAAGTCGTAGCATATTTAGAAAACGTCGGGACCAAGACTAGAACATAAACCAAAGTGGTTTAAAGCTAGAGTTAGAGTAACAAGGGGTGACAAATTTGATAGCAACATTTACACTTGATCTACCAATATCATTCTTTCCAATACTCTTGTTTCTTTTGTACTCTACTCTTCTATTATGCATTCGGGCGATTGAAGAGATTTTTGAAAATAATGTATAATGAAAAAAATCTCTAAAAAATATCTCCCAAAAGATCCATAATATTTTCATACATACATTTAGAGGAACTAACACAAACTTTTTGAGTACTAGATATAAAAAAGAGAAGTGTAACACAAAAGAAATGAATAAGCTATATGTTTCTTATACTACCTTCAAACATTTTGTGGGGCCTTACCACATTATGAGCATCTTTATGTGTCCCGACTATGATGACAGGGGGGCTCAGTGATTGGGTTTCAGGAGATGACTTCCCAGCATGAGTGTGGATTGAATTCAACCAGTAATCAAGGTAGTCTTAAAAAGTAAAATGAGGGGATGTGGAAACTCAGAAGAAAGAATATCGTCCATAATCATCTAAAATAGTACTGGAGTTTATCGCTATCTATATATCGCTAACAGTATTTATTTAAATGGGGTGCGTGTTTAAAAACCTTTTTATTAAGGTGCATTTGTGTACTTTTCAAGTGCTTATAACGACTAGTTGACGAAACACTCGAGAAAATGATTCCTATGCATAATAACAATTGCCTAAAACAGCTGAAGTGTACGTAGTGATTATCCATCAACAATATAGAAATTGCATTTCATATTGTACGAATAGCGACAAGAAAAGGTAAACGTTAACATATCAATACCGTTAGGTACTGATATTTTTCATTATCATATCACTGTCATCTTCCTCACTCTCTGATTGGTCAATGTGCAATACATGACTGAAATTTAAAAGGGACATTCAACTGCTGCACATAACATATCATAGAACATGTCATAACTCAATATGAGTTATGACATTCATATTCACTGAACGATCAGTTAATTTAATCAGTATTATATGCATGTACCTACCTTTGACCTTCTCCGGGGCGGCAGTATCACGTTTTGGTCCACGGCGTGATTGTCTAATTGTATCAACTTTGTCATCCAGGTCCTTAGTTAGGTCTACAACCAACAGATAGATGGCTCTGTCCGTTAAGAACGTTTGGTGCGTTGTGTAGAAGACGTGCTGTCCACCAAAGTCCCAAAAGGATAATTTCAGCTGATTTTCCTCCTGGGATGTGAAAGTATAGAAATAATAGGAATGAAAATGGCCATCGTACATTACAGTTAACGAAGTGGAAGCAAGTGAGGTTTACATTCAAGCAATGATTATTTTTCAATAATTAAGTTACAAAAAGTAATTGAAATTAAGCTTGATTCATGAGGTCATTCGAACTCACCCGATTTTTACCATCTTCTAAACTTAAGAACTTGCTTTTTATTGTATCTGGTATGCGATCTGGAGGAATAGTACAAGTAGCACCTGCACTGCTATCTCTAACACGTTCCCCTAAAATATAACAAAATATGCAACAAGAAGTATTCACCTGATGTTATGTACACATTAACTCTAAAAGTTATGTTATATACTCAGGGACCCAAGTTCTGAGAAACAGCTAGAAAGTGAAAATGGATATTGGAGAGTATTACGCGAGATTTTTTCAGTTCTTGTTGGAAAATAAGTTACTTTTATGATGTGGGGTGATATCTAGAGTTTGAGACTTGCGAAAATAAGATATCTTCATCTTTATACCCCCCGCCCTATAATTTTAGGGGGGTCAGAAGAAAATAGACTTTAATTCATAACTTTGGAAGTATATGAGATACAAACTTAATTTTTTCACCAACATTTATGAAATAACATCAGTAATGAAGAAAAAATATTTTGAATGAAAAAAAGCTAATTTGCATAATTTAACCCTTAAACTGCCATAAAAACTAGTAAATGACGAAATGATGTTATATCACATTTACTGTTATTGCCTTCATATGAAGTTATAACTTATGAAATAATTCCTAAAAATGCATCTATATATGTATAATGATTGTGCATAATATTAGAAGTGTATCTTACATAAAGACTGTGAAAAAAATTCTCCCCCTATCCAGATTTTTGAGGGGAGGGGGTCAAATAAAAATGGACTTTAATTCATAATTTTAAAAGTATATGAGGAACAAACTTAATTTTTTCACCAAAGTTTATGTAATAACATCAGTAATTCAGAAAAAATATTTTTGATACGCAAATAAGCTAATTTGCATAATTTAACCCTTATACAGTCATTAAAAGTGTTAAATGACGATGCGATAAAATACGACATTTACTCTAATTGACCTCTCATGAAGTTTTAACAAATAAAGTAATTCCTAAAAATGCATCTATATATGTATAACAGATGTGCAAAATATTAAAAGTGTATCTTACATAACGACGCTGAAAAAATTGTCCCCCTACCCAGATATTTGAGAGGGGTCAAATGGAAATGGACTTTAATTCATAACTTTGGAAGTATATGAGGTACAAACTTAATTCTTTCACCAAAATTTATGTTATAACTTCAGTAATTCGGAAGAAATATCTTGATATGAAAATAAGCTAATTTGCATAATTAACCCTTATACAGTCATAAAAAACGTTAAATGACAAAGTGATGAAATACGAAATTTACTTCAATTGACTTCTATGAAGTTATAACTTGTGAAATAATTCCTAGAAATACATTTACAACGGGTATGCACAATATAAAAAGGGTATTGTATATAATGAGTGTGAAAAAATCTCACACCCTACCCTAATATTTTAGGGTTGGGGGAAGTTAAAAGAAAATAATAAACTTTGATTCATAACTTTTAAATCGTATAAGAAAGAGCTTATACATGTATTTCTTCGCCAGAATATTGAGAAATCACATCAAGAATGAAACAAATATTACATGGAAACAATATTATACTAGTAGTAGTAGTAAATTTATTAATTAAAGTCTAACACAGTCATTTAGGCAAACAGACTTAATCGTTCATTTTCAAACATATGACATTCTACTTTAAAGTGAGTTTCTGTCTCCATAGACTGTCCACATAGGCACGATCTCTGGTCTATGGGAGTTGCGTTATTATTTCAATATAAAAACAAACTATCATTGGATGTATTACACTTGTTTGCAGCATCCAAAATGATATTAGAGCATTACCACTAACTATGGATGCATTTTTGGTTTATAACAATTATACATTTCAATGAATGCTGACAAACCACTTTTTGAGATTCCAGAGCCAGGGAATGAATTTGGATGTCAAGTGGTTCATATTACTCTTGAGACCATTAAAATGACCAAAAAAAACGAAACTTGATATAACAAAAATCCCAAAGTCATTTTGCACATGCAAACGATACAAGGACAAAGCAATATGTTAAACCACTTGCTCATGTGCCACTGCAGGTACAGAATGTTTTGCTGCATGTTCATGCGGCTCAAAGGAAAGTGAGGGTGGACGGGAATAAGTGGATTAACCCAAACATATATGATGACATTTTCACTGCATCAGGTACCTACAACCTAGAATATGACACCAGTCCCCACAGTGACTCTGAATATGGTTCAATAAACTTTA